GGGAGAGGGGAGAGGGGAGAGGGGAGAGAGAGACAAAGTCTCACTACGCAGTCCAGGCTGGCTTTGAACTCACTATGTAGCCCAGGGTGGTCTCCAACTCAGTTGGTCCTCCTGCCTCAGCCTCTTGAACGCTGGGATCACAGGTGGGCGGCACCACACCCAGCTCCAGGCAGAAGTTTTAGGCAGAAGAGCCTGTAACCCGGGCTCTGGCCCTGTCCTTTCCACCTGTAAATCGAGCTTCCTCCGCCCTCAAGGAAGCAGCAGCAGCGGCGGGCCCAGATCTCAACTTGAAACACGAAGACGGCTTGTACCCTGACATGGCCCCCAGACGGTCACCGGGCGGGCAGTGGGGACCTGCACCCCAGGTCCCCACCCTGAGCACCCAGCGCCCTCGCACACCTGCCTCCGACTCACAGGCTGGAACTTCTCTGAGTGCGTCCTGTTGTCTCTCTAATAAACCCTTCCCCTGTCTCTTCCTGAAATGCTTTTTCCACGATGGGAGTCAGCAAACCTGCAAGCTCATTCTCCACAGGGTGGGCAGGACCCTCAGTCCCCGCACAGTGGCATTTTCTTGTGGCGAGCCAGCCAGGACGCACAGAGACATCGCAGGCCACTTTGGCAAATTCCACCAAAAGACGTCAGTATTCCTTTTTCTTCTTTCCCGCTTCTCCCAACCCCTTGCCCTCTGAAGCATGGTTTACCTTTTTCCTCCTTTCTCTCTCCCCCCAACAAACTTCTGCAGCCTCAGGGCCTTTCCCTTCCTGCAGACAGACTCAGCCCCGAGGAAATGATGCCTATGCCCCCTCTGACGGAAGTGGGCAGAGGTCACAAGGGGCGGCCCACTGGGTGCCTTGGGGCAGCGCCACACCCGGCCCTCAAAATCTCGCTGTCCCAGGAAGACACAGGGAAGCCTGAGGCCCCCCGCAGGGTCCTGGGCGCCGTTTCTCACCCAGCCGGCGCGGGAGACCACAGTCCCGAGACACAGGAGAGGACCCGCCCTGGGCCACAGGACGCAAGGCCTCCACTCCCGGGCTGGGAACGTTTCCCACGTGCGGATGCAGGCGGCCACTCGGGCGACACCGGCCAGTCTGCACTCAGCAGGGAAAGCCCCGCTCACCCTTCCTCCTCCCCCGCAGGAGGCCCAACCCCTCTCTCCCACGGAAGCTCTCCTCGGTCAGCAAGCTCTGGTCCCGATCCCGCGCTGGGCTGCATCTGTAGCGGGCCCACCCGCCGGCCTTGCTCGGGGACCTACACCGGCTACTTGGTTCCTCCCCGACTCAGGCAAATGAGACACGGAGTCAGCTCAACACGCGTGCTAGGAGAGGAGCCCCGAGCTTTGCTCACCTCACTTCTAGTCACCCAAACACAGGCTCGAGCAATCAAGGCAACACAGGATCCATCTGCTTTCCAATACCCACTCGTACATCTGGTAAACAACTCACCCGCAGCTGTCTTAACTTTTCCCTAATATGCAGTCCGCCCCGCGTGCAGCCTTTTTCCTCTGGGAG